CAGGAACCGCGCGCGGGGCGGGACCAGGGGCGGGACCAGGGGGCGGGGCCGCGGCGTGAGGGGAGAGGGCCCGTCCAGGAATGGCGTGTGAGGGGGGCCAGATCCCCTCAGAAATTCCCTGAGGGAATATGGCGCGTAGGGAGGGACAGGGTGGTTTCCTGAGGATTTGTGCTGTGGGGGATGAAGCTGCTCCACGAAGGGGTTGTAGACTGTGCCCAGCAGGAGGAGGGGGCTGCTGCTGGGGAGCTCAGGATGAGGCAGGTGGAGTTCAGCTGCTTTTCAGCTCGGCTATTTTCAGGCAGGTAAATTATTTGCCACAGGTATGGGAGCACCAGGAATATCAGGGCAGGGATTTTAGGGACAGGACACACTACATGGGACAGACACAATGCTGTTCCTTCAAGGGAGATGTCTGGCAGGGTGGTGCAGTAACATCTATTTCTCCTCTGGTGACCCTTGACTGGATGTTGCCTGGCTACCTGCTGCCCTGAGTGAATTTTATAGAGGTTATTTGGTTTTCCACTCTCTTAGATGCATCCTGAGATTAAAAAATGCTACACTGCCGGGAAATAGCTAAATACCTTTTTCTGACGGTGGCAGAAGGGTAGTTTCAAAGGGTGAATGAGTAGGAAAAGAATTTAAGAATCCTGGCACTGTGCTTCCACATCCTCAGTGCTTTAGGACATGGTCCTCAGGCAAGCTGATTAATTTAAATTCCTGATTTATGTTTGTTTATTTTCCTGACTAGACCTAAATGAACTCTAGAACACCTTCATGTCATTCTGCCTTTCTTTCATATCACCATAGGCAGTAGTATCTGTATAAGTATCTTAAACATGTACAGGAAAGCCTTTTATTGATAAATATGTAAACTTTGAGGGAAAATCCAGACACAGCCCTCATGAAACAGAAATATTATTGCTGACTGAATTGTTGGGATTTACATATCCTGTACATAATGGTAAGACTGGCAGGAAGTAAAACCTCAGAGCAGGAGGGATTTGATGCTGTTAAATGCTTTGGTACAAGCCTTGCAAGAGCCATTAGCTTTGATGTGTAAGTGCACCGCACTGGTGTGCCTGACAGACAAGTTTCCCCAGAACTGACTGAGAAGTGATTCAGAGGTTAAGGAGTAGTTAAATGTAAACACTTGTTTATAGTGTAAAATAATTGTCACAAGGCTAAACTGATTAATAATCTGTTCTGATCTAATCTTTCTCCTTGGAATTTAAAGTAAATATATGAACATGTAACTATTTTAAAATTACTTTTATGATGTGCCTTGTTCTTACATTTATGGAGTTTGTTAACATCTGGTAAGATTATATAGACTTCCCTCAGGGATAAAATGTACTTCCCTAAGGATACTGAGCTGTGCTAGGCCTGTGCAGCTGAGCCAAGTCAAATGGGGGATTAATACCACAGTTCCTCCAACAAATGAGAGAATGGAGGTCTTGGGGCTTGAGAACATTCGTTCAGGGAGAGCAGGAAGAAATGAAAAATCCCTATGGCTGGATGGGGTTTTGAAGCAACCTGATTCAGTGGAAGGTGTCCCTGCCCTTGGCAGCGGGGTGGAAGAGGATGAGCTTTAAGGTCCCTTCCAATCCAAACCATCCTGTTATTCCATGTAACTCCTTCTGTGATCAGATTAGTGGGAAACAACACCTCAACAAATGTTGCAGATCTAGAGAGGGAACTTGTGAAACTCAAGAGGTAAGCAATACCTGAGGGTGAAAGAAGCAAATGGGGAATAATGACTGAATCACTAGGGAAGGGTATATAAGGCAACAAAAGAAATCTGGGAAAAGTGTCTGCAAAAATTCATCAAGTAAACAATGCACCAGGGAAATCTGTAAGATGAAGAAGGAAAACAAAAGTAGGATAAAGACTCTATTCCTCCAGAACTCTTGGAACAGTTAATTCTTTCCTGAACAAGAAAGATGAAACTATATTATCAATATTTTATACATCATCAGACCCTTCTGCTAATATATAATATATAAATAAATGTATTTTTTCCCTGCCATAGAATTAATGATGTTAATAGCTGCTGTAGAGTAATAAAGAGGCAATAATACTTCAGGTTAAATGTCAGAAAATAGGGGAATAAGACAGTTTGAATGAGATTGCTGGGATGAAATGGAATGAAGAAAATCAAGACAGTCAGCAGTGTCCCAGCTCTGTTCTGTATTCTTAGGGAGGCATAGGAAAAGTTTTTGTTTAAAATTACTCTGTAGGTTAGCCATTATCAGGTGGAAAAAGTTAAGAAGGACCCTTTAGTATTCTGTAGGTCAGTAGTTTGGATAATTCACTTAGCTTTTGGTGTTTTTTTATAAGTTAGGTGTAAGTCTTGTCCCCTTCTCCTAAAGGCATTTGGGTGCCTTTTGAAACAGCAGAAGTACTATTTATTTTTAAAGCAGAGGCTTACATTTCTTTCTGTGTCTGATAAAAATTGAGCAGGAAACGCATGGATATTTTCCATCTGTGGTAGGAAAGGAACCCTGTCCCTTTCTCCTTTGCATACAAGAATAAACTATCCTCTGACTGTTTGTTTTCTTAAATCTTGGTTTGTCCTTGTTTCTTTGATGCCTAAACCCCCCTGTTATCTTCCAGAAGCTTTGGTCATCACTGTGGAATTCCTGGCATGAGAAGGCAGAGCGTCAGGGTGGAGAGAAGATCCTTGCTGAACTGCTGTAATGATGAAGACAGCGATTTTAATTGTCTTAATCATCTTCTCTTTGCTGGTTTCCGGTAAGGCTGATGCAGAGAGGGAAAGGTTGCCTCTGGGTGGGTGACATTCAAATTAATACATGCTTCCGTTTTGTTTTCCTTTGTGTGGAGAAAGAAGTCGAAGAAAGAAGTCGCAGTTAGAGCTGTGCCTGTGTTTTTTCTGTTTGATCATTGGCAGATGGTGACCCTCTTATGTTTAGAAGCAGCTTGATCCACAACTTCCTTAGTACTTCAGTGAGAGTTTGTTTCCTCTGAGTAGTTGAGGTCTGCCTACTCATTAGCAGTGTCAGAACGAAGCAGTGGACCTCAAGCTGCTCCCCTCTAAAACCACTGTGGGTTCTTCTTGGAACTGTGCTGAATTTATGTCAAAACAAGTGGAGGACTAATGTCTGATGCTATGCTCAAAGAAATAAAAACTTCAATGATTTAATTGTACACATTGCTAGTATTAATAGTTCTCCAGAGAGTCAAATGCTTAAACATCTGGAAATGACAATGTTAGAGATATTGTGGCATTTTCTGTGTGTTCAGTCCTGTTTTTCATTACATGGCTTAAGATTCTCTCAAGTTACATAACTGCATGCTATTTTTGTGAACAACAATCACTTTTTTCGTCCTTAAATGTATTGTATCTTCTTGCAGATGATGATGTATTTCAGAGTAGAATGCATTTCAGAGGAATAATACAAGATAGAATAATTGCAACCTAAAGCAAAGGAGGAAATTTTGTTGGCATGTCTGGATTTCTTTAAGATTTAGCTTTATAGTTGGTTTGAACCCACCAAACCTCCAAGTCCTTCTGAAAAAGGAAGTTTCACCTTCACCTCCATGCTTTATTGCATCTTTTTGGAGTGTGAAAGCACCAGAGGAATCAGCAGAACAAATGCTAAAAGAATGGCCTGTATTGATAACCAAGGACAGCAGTAAAACTGATAAACCCCGGGGAATGCATGTTTACATCAAGATTAGAAGGTCTGTGCTGTGGTGGAGTCACATCCCAGTTGACTTGTTAGGAGAAAAACTGCACTCCAGTAACAGGAGGATGGTTACCCTACATTGTAAGTGCCATTCCTTCTCTTGCTATCCCAACAGGAAATCAGGCCATAGCCATAAACACGTCCTTACTTTTGGTTCCTCCTAATTTTGGGTGGCAGCCTTACCTAAAATGCACTAAGGTTGAGGCAAGGAAGATTCTGTGGTAAAAGATCTTGCCATGACAGTTGCTGATTTTTGAAAAATCTGCCAAAAACTATTTGGTTGTTTGCAGTCAAAAGGAAGCAAAGAGACATGTTAAAGATAAATGTTGTCCTCGTGTTGGGCAAAAGTGACCTTGGCCACATGTGGGCACATCTCTTGGGTGTCTCTAGGTGTGTGGGTATGTGGGTGTGAGTGAGCACAATCAAGCTATTGGGAAGTTAAATAGAATAGAATAATCTCTCTCCTCCATAAGGTGTTAAACTGAGGGGATTTTTCATGAAATCCTACAAATCTTGACTTCTTTTTTTACCCTACAGGGAAGAAATTCCGATGGTGCACCCTTTCTGACCTGGAACAAAGAAAGTGTGCTGAGCTCTCCAAAGCGCTTACGGCTGTGCTGCCCTTCACTACTGCCAGTTCCTTTACTAGGATTTCTTGCATCAGAGCCCACAATACATATGACTGCATTGATAAAATCAGGGTGAGCTCACAGGGACTTAAAAAAAATATTTTGTGTCCAAGTCCTCTTGGAAAAGTAACTGGTAAACAGAAACTATGGGAAAATAAAATTATACTGAAATAATTGAACTGCTTATATGACAAAGTACACAGTGACTTGAGAGTCAAGAATTAAATCTTGTAAGCATTCTAGGATGTACTGTTTTAGCCCAGCTAAAGACTTTCCAGTCTCCAAGAACTAGAGAAGTCTGCTTGGAAATAAATGGACAAAAGCAAACTACTAAATTACAATTTGTTGAGGCAGAAACTGTGCTCTTGAATCTTCTGTTTGTGTCCTTGTAAACAGACTTGTTTTGAGGGTTTTGCTGTTATTTTAAAGGCAAATAAAGCAGATGCTGCCTCCTTGGATGCTGGAGATATTTACTCTGCTGTAAAGCTGTATGGTTTGGCCGTGGTGGCAAAGGAGATCTATGATCAAGGTAGGTTGGTAAAGCTGAAGAATAAACTGTACTTCTGATTTGTCTAAGGAATGGATTTAGATTTCTTGAAAAAAAAAAGTCAATATGTTTTTATTATTTTTAATAAAATATAATTTTATTATGTTTTATTTTTATTTGTAGGAATATGGAGGTGGCTAACAATTGTTTCTAAAATACTTAATGATGAATAAAATACCAGTGGTGCTCTGTACCCAGTAGCCTTTCTGCCTGTGGTACTGACAGACTTGCATTGGTTGTTTGACAAGGTGCCATGTAGCCAGTATGTGGTTAAGTTCCTCCAAGTACCTCCATTGAATAGGCCTAAGACAATTTCTTCTTTAGCCATGTTCACTGAAGTAGCTCAACTTCTCTTCAGAGATGGAAGCTGTATAATTGAAATTCTTTTTTTTTTTATTTTCTGTTGCACATTTTGTGCTGTTGCAGGAAACTGTGTGTTTGCTGTGGCCATTGCCAAACGAGGAACTCTGGATATCCAGAGTCTACGAGGTGTGCGCAGCTGTCACAATGGAGCCAGGTGGACATCAGGCTGGAATATTCCACTTGGCTTTCTCCTTGCAAGAAATTATCTTTCCTGGGATGAGGCACAACCTCTGAGGCAAGGTAGGTGACAGGAGCCATAGGGCTACCTCTGGCCACAGCAAAAGTAACTGAAATGCCAGCAGATGTAGGATGAGCTAGTTATGGCCATGATATGTTTGGCCCCCTTTCCTCTTCTGATTTTTTTTTCCCCATTTGAATTTTTTCTTTTGTTTTGTTTTTTTCCCCCTGCAGCAATCAGTGAGTACTTCAATGCAAGCTGCATCCCTGGGGTTGGTGTTGCTGCTCCCCGTTTGTGTGCTCTCTGCCAAGGACAAAAATCCTATGTCAGAGACAGGAACCACTTCTGTGAGACAAGCAGCAATGAACCCTTCTACGACTCCGACGGAGCCTTCAGGTGAGCTCTGGGACACTGGGGCTGAATTCACTTTTGGGGGTAAAAGAACTTACAAGGTAGGAAAGGCAGGTGAAATGTTAATAGGATAGCATTTGTCTTCCTGCAGGTGCTTGAAGGATGGAGTGGCAGATGTTGCCTTTTTAGATCACCTAAGAATTATGAGTGCCACAGGTAATCTTAAAAATGCAGTTTTCTTTTAATCTCTAGCTATGCTCTTTCCTGCACAGGTGTTTGGGGGATATGCCTCTATTTTTATTGTTTCTGGGGAAAATTCAATCCCCTGCAAGCAGTTCAGGGGTATTTCTTGACTCTCCACACAACTTAGAAAGAAACAGAACAGGAAAGTGTGAGTGAGCAATGATTGCTCACAGAAGATACTTAGAATGGGAGCAGACAGGTGATTTCATTAACTGTCTCTGACACAGCTATCAGTATTTGCTTTGCCTGAGTTACAAGATTCCTTTTAAAATTCAGTGTATTGAGCTCCATAACTGTGAAGTTCCTGTACACCGGCCTTGCACTTTTAAACTCGGTTGAGCTCTGTACCAAGGGTGGTTAGCAGTAGTATTTGCAGCTAAGTATTTTTAAATTAATGTCTTTACAGGGGTACAGCTTAAAGAGCATTTTGGAACAGCTCTGGCTGAGGTCCTACTCTTTGTTAGGAGAAGCACTTACCAAAGACAACTTTCCCAAGTGTGCTTGGTACACAGTGCTGCCTGCATAACCTTTAGCAGCCTCCACTGAAAAACATTTTATATTCCATCTCTGCCTGCAGCCAGTTATGGCTCCCGTCACAGATTCATGAGTGTCTCCTTGTTTCAGAGTCAGAACAACAGGAATATGAACTCTTGTGTCCTGATGGCTCCACAGCTGAGCTGACAGAACACAGCACCTGTAACCTGGGCAAGGGGCCTGGCCGTGGCATCGTCACCCGCAACAACTTCCAGAAGATCACCAACAAATTCCTTAGCATGATCCAAGTGAGTGAATATTATGTCTATGTCCAGACACAGTTTTTAATTCCATCTTTGTGTGGCAATTATGACCCAGGTTGCCTTTTTTCTTGATAAATTTATAGTTAGTGTGAATAAAGTGCTAAAAATTGTTTGTTCTGGGGTAGGATCTTGCATTGTCTTGTGTAAGGTTTTGCTTTTTTCTGAAGTGTTCTTCATAGGAGGCTGGGAATAAATCAGTAAAGAAGGGGAAGATGCTATAACACACAAACTGGAAGATGGCTAATGATGTTCATCCTGCTGTGGAACTTGAATCAATTTTTATGTAGCTGAAGGAGACTTACAGGTTCAGGCAGAGCTCACTTTTCTTCATCTCTTTTTCTTAACTTATAGATAGTATTTGATATCTTTACCACTGATACAAAGGGAAGGAAGGCTGAGGCTGCCTATTGCTGGAAGAATGAGCAGATTTGTTGCAACTCAAAACTGTTTTTCTTCTCCTAGCGCCTCTTTGGGCGTAAAGGAAAGGAAAGAGCCAGGTTTGAACTCTTCAGTTCAGCAGCCTTTGGGGGAAAGAATCTGCTGTTCCGAGATGCCACTCAGCACCTGCAGCTTCTCGAGGAGCAGCTGGAGATTGCCTATGTCCTTGGTCTGGATTATGTAGCTCTCCTTAAGGGACTTGGCCATGAAGGTGAGAACCATTCCAGAGGACTGTAGCTAAGGAAAGGGAAGAGAAAGTTCTCCTTCCACATTATTCCTCCCTCCAGGCACCCTCCAGGTGCATTCACCTGAACATCCTTAACATGTAGCAGATTGGTGCACTGGTGACATGATCTGCTTCCATTTCAGGGAGCTCTTTGGACAACAGCGTTGTGCGCTGGTGCTGCATCAGTGATGCTGAGCTTCGCAAATGCGAGGAGTGGGCACTGAACATCAAATCCGACCCATTAGTCTGTCTCCAAGCAAACTCCATGACCAAATGCATTGAGATGATCAAGGTAGGAGACTCCTTCTGCTCAAGGTAGAGGACTGTACAGAGTGTGTATGTCTTGTCTGAATTAAAGAGAGGAAAACTAGCTTCAGGAGTAAGTGGGAATGAGAGGGAATTTATTCAGGGGAATTTCCAGCCAGTGGAGAAGTCCTGCTGCTTGGATACACAATTGATGCAAATCCTGATTTTGTTATTTTCTCTAATGCTGCTGGCAGAGTAGTGAGGCTGATGCAGTCACCCTGGATGCAACACACGTTTACATCGCAGGGAGGTGTGGACTGGTGCCTGTAGCTGCAGAATGCTATGGTGAGTTCTCATGTGACCTTATCAAGAAGAGAGGGGAATCAAAATAGTACCATTAAGAATATAATTAAATTTCCACAGTTTATGATGTTTTGTGATGGAAGCAGGAGTCAGTATAAATGTCCAAATACTCTTCCCATCTCTTCCACTAACTGATTCTAGCATTTGGTCTGTTTATTTTATCCCTTCTGTTAAAGGGACAAAGATGCTGACATGGCTGAAGAGGATCACAAGGGTTTTGAAGGAATGCTGCCATGTAAAAGGAATGACAGCAGTTGCAAGATCCTTAATGTTTATCTCTCCTTCCAGGGGGAGATTGTGCCCCAGCAGCTGAGACCATGGAGAAAACAGGGAAACAAATTCATCTTAAGCACAAAGGTAACAGAAACTTTGAGAGGGCATAAGATCTAGATTTTCCTGAGACTGTTCTAGGGTTTATATAGGAATGTACTTGCTTGTTTGTTTAGAATAGAATTTTCTGTTCAAGGACAAGAGTTTCTGGCTAAGCAAACAGTGTGGGTCCTGTACTGTAACTGAAGATACTGTGACAAGATGAGGGAGAGAAGGGGAGCTGTACCCATCTGGAATGCTTAATTGCCTTGGTGTAACTGTTTCTTACTGTTTGACAGCACTACCACCAGTTTATGCTGTTGCCCTAGCTAAGAAAAGTGCCAAACAGATTCACATCCATAACCTTAGGGGAAGGCGGTCCTGCCACAGTCACCTGTATAGTCCTGGCGGATGGTTACTTCTGTCCAGACACACAGTGGGAGCTCAGCAGAATGACACTGACAACTGTGATATTGCCTCTGGTAAGGGCTGCTCTGGGCTCTCTCTTAACTAGACCATGAAAATCTGAAGCTCTAGATTTGGGAACAAAATAGAGATGGGGCCATGAGGATCCAACCAGCAACTGATGACTGCCGTTTCAGAGGGTGTTGAAGCACTTTTTCCTCATAATTGACTATGTGTCACACTATTTAGCCCTTTTCATGCTAGTTGTTAGGATGAAATTCCTTTCCTGTCTTTTCCCATATGTGAAGAGGCTTCGGAACACCTTGCCTTAATCTCATCTCAGTTTTCTTTACTCAGCTTATCAGAATTACTTTTGGAAGGGCTGCATGCCAGGAGCAGATGGAAACCTGTGCAAGGTGTGCATTGGAGATGGTGAGGTGGAAGGAGCTCGGGTGTCCAGCAGATGTGCTGCAAGTCACAACGAACGTTACTACGGCAATATGGGAGCACTCAGGTGAGCTTTTTGTGAGAGCCAGAAATGCAGAGCAATAGCCAGAATTGCCTTATTATTTTGCTGACTTTTTTAAAGTTTTTTTTTCCCTATTTGTTCAGCATCTGGCTATATAAACTTTTGCTAGTGTGTATTTTGTTTTGGTTGCAGTTGCTATAGGATGTTCAGCTGACTGATGATTTAAAATGGCCATGAAACCATTTCCAGAGCAAAGCAATGCTTCCAAACATGTAAGGCTTAGAGCATTGGTACTGATTCATTAAAGGGAAGGGATGAAAAGATCAGAGAGCAGAGGTGCTATGGTAAGAAGTAGTGTAGCATACAGGAGATAATTAAATAGAGTGGAGATATAAAAAAAAAAAATAGTTGAAGACAGAGGCAGAGAAGACTATTAAAGGTGAAAGCACTCTTATGAAATATACATAATCCATTTAGTTGAATTTCATTCTCTTTCCTGCCTAGGCATGGGTGAAAGTGCACATTGTGCAGCAGTTTTGACTTGGGAGCTGCTGTAAGGGATGAAGAGGATTATTTTAGCAAATCTCTATGCTGAGATCACCAGCATATTCCAAGGGATTAGAGATGGGAGGGATACTTCCAGCTACTCCTGTTTTAGCTTCAGATGACTGTCCAAACGTCAGTCACCATGTAGTGCTGTCTTTGATCACTTGTTCCTTTCTTGCACTAGGTGCCTAGTTGGCAATCCCAGTGGAAGAAGCTTTGGAGATGTAGCTTTCCTGGAACACTCAAACCTGCTCCAGAATATAGAGGGTGAGATGTAGATAATTCCCTTTTCCTTTGAGAATGTTCACTAACATAAGTTATGTCTCACAAAGCACCCATCACTTGTGGGGATCAGTCTTTCCAGGTTTAATCTAGGCCCATGAAGCTGTGTTTGATTGCTAGGAGCATTTTACATACAGGTATTCCAGTAAAGCTCAACATTCAGGTACTGCAAGAGGGGAAAGAAGAAGAATCACCCAGTGCAAAGATGTGTGTTGGGATAATCATCCTTGGAGACTGCACTAAATTTCTGGAAAGCTCAAAGCTTTAAAAGGCAAACCAAAACGTGTTTTTCTTAGAGTCAAGGAGCAAAGGAACCCTCATTAAAGCAAAATAAAATTCTATTTTAGGCAATTTCAGTAAGAGAAGAGACTTTTCTAAGAGAGGAATCTCAAACCAAATGAAGATATAAGGGGCTGGAAACACACAGGAATTCCTGCAGCAATTAGCAGTTTGTTTGGGGAAGCAAAGGGCATGCAGGCTGAATTGCTTGGTTTCCAGAAAGGGATCTTATTACAGATGCAGATGAGACATGATATGCTGTTCATATGCCTTGATATTATTCTAGTTTAGTTGATAGGTGCAGCTCAAGTTCACTGACCTCAGTGAAAACACTACTCTGGTCCTTGGTCCTTGCATTCCTAAGAAATGACCACATAGCACGCTGTGTTTGTTTTGAACACATTGACTAAACTTCTCCCTCTCAAGTTTTAACATTTTGAGATTCACCCTCTCTTCTGCTTTAAAAGGATTACCTTTCACTTCATTCTCTTTTCAGATCTGGGCAGCTCTGGTTGGGCAAAAGGTTATACTGCCCTTGACTTTGAACTCTTGTGTCCGGACGGAACACGCGCTGCAGTCACAGAATGGGCTGGCTGTAACCTTGGCCCCATTCCCCCCAGCGCAGTCATGACTCGACCAGTCACTGTCACTAAAATCTCTGAGTTTCTACTGAAATCTCAGGTATGACAGGTAACGGGGAAAAGCTTGGAATGTTACCATTCATTATGTACAACTGCTGAAAACCCTTTCAAGATGAAAAGCTTTATATACTAGTCCCTTCAGATCCAATACAAGAGAATTAAAAATGTGCATAGGAGATTGAGAAAATAATTATTTGGAATTTCTTAAGGGGTATTTTGGCACCAGTTCCCATTCCACAGCAGCCATACTTTTGCTGAGAAATAAGGCACTGCAAAAGTACATCTTTTTGTACTAATAAGAGCAGCGCTAGATAAAAGTTCTGTTAATGACTCAAGCTCTGAAACTTTTATTCCTTTTCTGTTCAGGAATCACTGGGAAGCAAATTGGATTCTGAATTCCAACTCTTTCAGTCATGGAAGTATGGTGAAAATGATTTGCTTTTCAAAGACACTACACAGTACCTTGTTCATGCAAGTCACCTGAGCTATCAGGAGATTCTTGGAGAGTCTTTTGTTCAACTGGCGGAATCAGTGTTTAATTGCACACCTGCAGGTAAAGTCAAGTTGTTAATTCTGAGTTAGAGAGACATGCAGCAGGCAGCCTTCTGTGCTCAGCTCTGGCCCTTTAGTTTAGACTGCATGGAGAAGTATGTTCTACCTAATCCTGTTCATAACAAATTTCTAAGGAGTCCTGTGTTAGACTTTTGTGAGATTAAGTTGGTAACTGCAATTCAAAAGGGAAATTTGACCTCTATTCTGCTGTTTTAATGAATAGTATCTGAAAAACTTACTACTTTTGAAGCTGATAACATCTTTAAGTGTATACTTTCTTACTGGTTTGTAGGTATCTTGGATTTCTGCAAACAGGATATCTGTGCATCCTCATCCAACTGACAGCTCATACAGAGGCTTTGCAAGGCATGTAACATCAGCATCATTGCTGGTTGAACAAGGAAAATGTGCAAGTCCAGCCAATCCAAAGCAATCAGCAAGGAAACAGTCATCTCTAAAAATGTATGCTGAACACCTTCTTGTCTTTTTTTTCAGCAGATTTTATGTTTATGATGATATAGTACTATTCATATGTTGCCCCTTTCTTTTTTGGAGCACAGCAGCATGGGAAACAGCACAACCAACAGCACAGAACTAGGACCAGCATTGTGGAAAGAGCAGGGCCAGTACCATGGACTAAAATACAGACTGGTATGAGTGGCACAGGTTAGTTGGTAGCATTTTGCCTTGTCTGTCTTGTAAACAGTTTCCATGCAAAAACCCCAATCAGCTGACATTTTGGTGGTTGTGACATCGTCTTCCTGTATCTGTGATTTTGGCTGCAGCTAGGTAGTCCCTGCTGAATACACGTATGTATTTCTTCTTTAACCAACGATTTTTACTAGTAAATCAAAACATTTTTCCTCACAAATAAATGTATTAAGATATTTAATAGCCAGCAGAACTGGATGCTTGCAGCAGTGGATGTTCCGCTTTGTCAAGACCTCCAACCGTTACTTTATATTTGAATTTAAGATTCTCTGAAATGTCAAAATATTATCTATCCATTAAACACCTCAAGTTTTACAAGCAGAAACTCTGCCTGAATATGATATGAAGCCTTTTGAGCAGAAATCATCTGTTCATCATCTGTATCATTATTGTCCCAGTACAGTGACAGAGCCAAATCCTGATATACTATTGCAGCCAGTGAGCTGCAGCCCTGAAGGAGCAGGGAAAGAGCAGGATGCTTGTTTAGGCCTCTCAGGTGTTGCTGCCTTTCTTTCCTGGAGCTTTCCTGCCACCTGTGGGGCCCTTGTGACACTGCACTCGGGAGAAGGGATTTCTGAGAACATGGTGAAGAAATGCATCTGTGCCCTAGCTTTGCCAGGAGCAGCATGCAGCTGATGAGGGATAAATTAAAAATTGGGGTTATACACAAGATTTTATGGGTTGGAAGGACAGGGACATTGTTTTCATTACAAATGCTTGCTAGACTTTGTTGATGGCCTCTGATCCGTGAACCACAGGCCAGGCTCAGCCTTGACTCTCAGCTCTGAGCTGAGCAGGAACTGTGCTTGCAGTGCTTCCTGGCTCCTGCTGCTCTGCTAGCTGAAGGGATGGATGCTGCCTCAGTGCTCTGAACAGTAGCTGAGATCATGATTAAAATCTTCCAGGCTGGGATGAAGGAAAACCAGAATTGTTGCTCTGTGCCTCAGTAACAGCAGGCCCTGTTACTTCACAGTGCTGATCTCTTTGGAGATTTGACCTTTCTCCCCACGTTTAAGACATGTTGTCATGCATATTTACCCATACAAGCCTAAAGGCCTTAAAAACCTGAAAGGTTCTCAGAAAAAATTTATTTCCATAAATTAAAAACACACACAAAAGAAACAGTAGAATTTTAGATTCACACAATATTGAACAGAAACAAAATGCCAAGAGCATGATGGAGGCTAATGGCACAAGTGTACAAATTCTCATTGAGCTTTTTGATAACTTGATAGCATCATACAGACTTTTAATCCACAGTTACCATCCATATTCTAGAAAAGCACCTGGAACATAATATACCAAAGGCCCACCTGAAATCAAAATACAACGAATGAGAATTGCTTGCAGGAAATCAAAATCATATCCAGCAAGCACCAGAACTCAAATGTATGCAGACACAAGCCAGCCAGGCAAATGCTGTACCATACATTAAGGAGCCTTAGCTACTCCAGTCATAGCATGATGAAAACAATGATTTTCTTCTTCTTGTTTTGTTTTTTTTGTTGTTCTTGTTTTTTTGTTTTTTTTTTGGAAAGTGATCTTTCTATCTCTTACAATCAGCAAATTTAGCAAAGAGCTGCCTGGCTCTGCATAACTTACTACTAAGAGACAGAACATGGCAAAAGCTTTGCAATCCTTCTCAAGCTGTTCTAGTCATTAGTCTGTGATGTACTTTCCACAGTGATACTAAACATCCTCACTGGAGTGTGTTCCTTAATGAAAAGGCAAAGGTACATATCCTCCTGCTAGGGATATATGCAAGACCCCAAAAGCTGAATCCTCTACACTTTTTTCTTTCAATTATCTGTGACAGAAGCAGCTCAGAATGGCAAATGCCCAGCTTTTGCCCAGTCATCACTTGCAGTGTACAAGCAGCAGCCACAAGGAACATGGCTGTTCCATGAGTGCTGTAAACAGGAACAGAGGTGGGAAAGGAAAAAACAAGAAAGTGCACAAGCAGGACTGACACCTGTATATGCTGGAGTTGGGGAAAAGATGCTTGGTCTCCACTAGCTTACATTGTCATACAAACACTAAACCAAAAGAGAGTAATGCTGTGTATTTGGGGTCTGGGAGAAGCTAGACAACTGCAACATCATCTTGTAACTCCTCCAATTACTGTAAACCAAAGAGAATTTGAGTGTTTTCTTTGCTCTGCTCTCTCTGCTGTAGCTTGTAGAAAAAAAAAAAAAAAAGTTAAGAAATCTTATTTCAATCAGAAATAAGAGAGAGCAGGGAAGAAAAGAAAATAAAAAACCCCTACCCTAAACAAAGCAAACAAAACCCAACAGAACCTAAAGGAAAAGACTCAACACATTCCATGTTTTGAAGCACATTTGAGGTCTGAACTTTTCCTGGACCTAAGTCTCTTCCCCCCACCCCAATCTTTATTTCCTTGAAAGCCCCAGTAAAATTACAGCTTAATTGTGTCACAGCACTGGAAGCCTCCCATATTAATAGGAGAATGAATGCTCTGTAACAATCCTATTCTATAGCATAAATCCATAAAAATATATCTCTCACTCTTGCTACTGCTTCCAACTAGTCAATAATTGGGCTAATAAGCCAGCATAGGGAAACTTTCAAACATTTTTTTAGGAGGCAGTTGACCTTTGTTTTTTAGGGATTTCTTTTTACAAAAATAAAGAGGATCAATTAGAATGTTCTACAACAGCCCAATAGGTTAACCAGAAAAATACTATGTCAATATTATGTTCAAAGTTTGCTTTGTTATTTTACCCTCAAACTCTAAACACTACTACTCTAAGTGTGCACTCCTCTCTTTTCTTCAGTCTTCCTGATTATACATAATTAGCCTTCAAAACAAGAATATAAACTTTTACAAATCCCAGCACATAAGCTGGGAGCAAAACAAACCCAGATTAGATTTCTTTCAAGACTCAGGCACACACAGTATAATAATCCTCTTCCATTTCTCTACTCTCAAAAGCTCTGAAATTCAACAGATTGCTTGTTAATATTTAGTTTTCTGTTTGGTCAGTAACAGAAGTGGTAGAGTAACAGAAGATAATGATGGTATTTGCAGTCCTGAATTCATTGGGACTTTATAAAAAATACCCACCCACTAGATATTCACTCTATTTGAAGGTAAATAGAAACTCTATTATATGGGTAGATAAATAAGAAAGTGCAAGTTCAAGTGACAAGTGAAAGAAAGAACAGACTAATTAAATTTGAGCATCCCAGCAACGACAGCTTTGCCTGAATAACTTCTCTAGGCACTAAAGGACAGAAATTACCTGAACTGCAGCTGGCATTGGATTTATGCTTCAAGGTAAATTTAACAGAAGTTATGCCAGAAGGGAGCTCTCTTCCTTCAAAGGTAGAGCTGGGAAATTGCCCAGTGCTGCATCAGATAATTACATACGGCTTTACATAATGGAAACAATGTCCATATATTCAGAGGCTCTTTGTACAACACTGGCTATTATGTACAACAGTGCTGTACAGAGAATATCTAATTATGACCTACAGGAATTGTAAATCTAAAATGGTAAAAAACCCCTTCTTGTTGACACTAAAATCAAGTTAGTATGAATGGAATTAAAATAACTTTAAAAGAAGTATCAAAGATTTCGCTGGTGTTCCCCGCATGCAGCAGCTCAGCTTAGTAAAATCTCTGCCTATGTATCCTGCACCTTAACATCCTCATGGACCAGTTACCTTTTCCTCTGGAGAAGAGGTTGGCATCAGCAAATTAAGTTAAAAAATCTGCTATTTGGGAAAAAATAGTACTGGGCACCATTTTTCCTTTAAAAATTACCTTTTTTTTTGAGTTGAATCATGTTAAACAAAAAGAAAACTTTATACAAAGTGCAAGTTATTTAAAGTCTAATTATGTGAGGCTTCTGCTGCCTGGAGCTAGGAAGGGCAAAGAAACTTAGAAGGAACCTTCTAAGTTAACAGAAGGAAGAAACAATTGAACCCAAACCTAGACAGCTACTTTTAATTATCAAAAGGTTAGTGGTATATCAAGAATGTGTTTGCTAGAATTTTTCTTTAGCAAACATCATATCTCTTTTGTCAGCTTGTTAAAAATAGCCATTACAGTAACAACAGCAGACTCAAATGTGCAAATGATCTGGAGTACAGAGTTTAAGCATCACTGAAGGTGCACTACTTCCTCCTTGACACTCCTACTCTACCCCCAAAAGATATTTTAAACATAATTAATTAAATATAACCAGTAATTTCCAGAGGTTGAGAAAGGAAGTATAAATTTCATGTGGCTGTGTTACACTCAAACAGGGACTTCAAAGAATCCCTCCAACAGCATTTAAAAAAAAAAAAAAAAATAGCACCTTAAAGAGGGTCACAGCCAAAAACTGATTATCAGGTGTTAGAACAGAGTGGCAGAGTAAGGTATGAGGAAGTCAGCAGATTTCTCCCAAGAAGAAAATACTAAAGAAGCTGACTTGGACCATTTCCAGCTAAGTGGCTCCCTCAGATGCTGGAGGCTTGCTCCTGCTCAACCTCCTCTGCAAAAAAGGCTTCAAGGTCCATTAGCTTCTGACTCAGAAGAACATCTAGCTCTGCACTCTGCAGTGCAGCTCTTTTTGCTCGGGTGAAACTACCCACTGCTTTGATTTTGCCTCGTATCTTCCTTTTCCGGGGAAGGGTAAAGTCCTGAAACTCTAGAATCCGCTTTCTCTTTTGCTGGCTGACAGAGATCAAGTGTCCATTTTTCTCCTTGGGCTCCTCAAAGATTGTTTCCAAGCTCCTGGTAAAAGCAAGAACAGAACTCATGAATACTACAGCAGCAGCCAGCTGACACTGACAGGGAGACTGGGGAATTTCATAACCCAGGTAAACACAATTCTAACTTGTACATTTTTACAGCCCCTCCACACCTCTTGTAGTGTTATCTACAGCTTACACCTCCTACAATGCACATTACTGCCAGCTGAGTTGTTATTGCTGCACAGACATTTGGGTAGAATCAATTTGTATTTCAGTTCAAAAGCACAATTACAGAATCTTCATTTTACAGAATAAATAGGTTTGAACATTTGATGACAGACAGTTATTTTTAGTATTTTAAAGAACATATAATTCCCTTGGAATTTTGAAAAATAAGTACTGTACTTTGATGGACACTGGAATGAATGGATGGATGAAAAAATATACAAATCCATACTTAACCAGCTGCAAATTCTTAGTTCATATTCTATTTCACTTTTTCCCATCCAAACAATAAAAGATACTACTTTCAAATTAACTTTCTCTAGCAGTTTAAACTAGACCAATTTTAAGAATATATCTCCCTCTTAGCTTTCATACACCTTTCACCTCCTCTATCATAATCCCTAATTAATTT